AGTACACAAAAAAGTTATGTCTCTCAAAATCCAACTAGACCTTCACAGAGATTGCTACGAGACTTATATAGAATAAGTATCCTTGAACTAGGAAAATGCACCTTTGAAGTAGGATTTTGATAATAGATTGACAGTGGGAAAAAGAAAATAGTCGTGTTGAAATACTCTCATGCCAAATATAGAATAACTTTCATTTATTGAATACAATCCATAAAAGACATTCTCTCATCAGATGAAACTCGATTAAAAAATGACAATGTGTAAAGACAATGGTGTCTGGCAATAGAGTAATACTTGAAAGTTGCATTAAATTATTAAAGCATCTTGCAGATATCTAGTTCAATTTGGTTATGTGTAGATGTACCTATAAACATTATGTAGCACATTCATTAGTTGAACACTTGAATTTAAGTTTCACATGTTGTACTTCTGGTGTATATTAATTTCGAACTTTTAACTGTCAGCACTGATTTGAATGGAATAATAGTCGCAGCAAAAAAGAAATAATTGTATAAAGAAATTTGTATAAAATGTACGTTGTTCACATATATATGTTTAGTTTCACAAGTAGATATCATCTTCGCTATATCTTCCGTCTAGCGCAACATGATTGAATCTCTTATGCCTTAAATCATTCGTTGTCTCAATTGACCTCGGTCTTTTTCTATGTTTTTTTCTATTTCAGTGAACATTTCTAATGACCTTGTTGCCGATTTTGTCATACCCAGACGCGGATTCTGTCTTTATCATGCCACCAAACTTCTAATGGATGAAAGCACTAAATTGGCATGGCTTATTTCAATTATCACAATAGTTTAACTCCAACTTCTTGCTCTTCATTCTTTTCTTTGTACGTGTAAAACGGACTTCTCGATTTCAACAACAATGTTCAATCTGACTCTTCGCGAAAATGACGATTTAGAGCTATGGATAGTGACCAAGGTATTTGCGTGACGACCTCTTAAAGATGCTTTCATAAATGATCCATAACTCGGTTCAATGGTTAACCTAATGCATTCGAAAATCTATATTCAAGTTGGGCACATTTGGACTATTTCATATAGACCTAGAATGGTTCGAGAAGAAGGTTTCTTCTTGACAAGCAGTATGTTTGGTAAAAATTGTGTCTTTTTACCTTAAATCAAGAACAATAAAGTATATTTGCAACAATAATGAGCACTTGACAACTCATTGCCAGTTTATCGGTTCGAAATTTGTGTGCATAACAGCGCTCGATTTCGATTTTCTATAAATTTGATTCCACTTTTCTTATCAAGAAACTTTCTTACGTACACTTTTCAATTCAGTAACTAATCTTGAATTCTTAGTTGGCGAGATTTATTAGGTGACACTCAGAAAAGACGACTTGAAGATTCACACAAATTTCAAGAATACTATTTGGAAAAAATCACATGTTTTATTATTATGTATCTTCGTTTTCTACCGAAGATGCAAGATGTTCTTGATTATTTCTTCTGAAATTCTACACAATCGTCAAGTAAAAGTTTTTGGTATAGTCAATAGGCTATTAAATTGGATGGTTCATCGGTGCAGTAATAGAGTAATTGTTAAGGATTGGCAAGTGCATAAACATCACTTGAGGTGAGTTCTCGTGAGTAAACTCTCAATTCATCTATCATTCCATAGAATTGTCCTGTTGAGACACTGCCGGATGCGCATGACATTGCGGCTGGAAATGTTGTTCCTACTGTAATCCAATCAGGCGAACTCGAGGCAGCATAAGTAAATGTAGCCGATGAGCCAATCAGAGTCCCATTGATCCAAAGACGAACGCTATTATTGATACTGTACGATGTAACAATATGAGTCCACACGCCCAACTGAAGAACAGGACCTTGGACAGTCATCATAAAAGAATTCCAACTTTGACCGACAATTTCGTCTGATGAAGTCAGACCTAACATGGGCATACACCATGATGTTCCATTCGAGCTAAATAAATCTTGCTCATGTTTATTTAAGTTTAATTTTCAGCTGAAAGAAAACAAATGTGACTCTCTCTCTATATATATGAGATAGAAATTTGTCGAATGGTGCATTCTCTTCTACAACTGTTATGAGAAAAAAGATGGAGAAACAATTTATTCCTAGTCTGACATTGGTGTTACATCATCGACAGACAGCCGATACAAATGTGCCTTGATCACATAGCATGGATCAAACGAGTATTCGTTTGATGCATTGACTAATTTAGTAAATTACCTATTGGTTTGCGACTAAATCTGATACCATCTTTTTTCATTAGAAAATCTCTTTCAAAATAAATAATTTTTCTCGGCAGAATCGTCTATCAGTGCACATGAACTAGATTAGATGTGATTTGGATGGAATTACTCATTGTCGAAGAGCATATGTAAATATAAACTTTTCTTTACTTTGCTGATACATGCAACAAGGTTCCACCTCCACTAGTTGACAATGCTTTGTTGACCCAAAGTGATATAGAATAGGCTTGACCAACCACACCTAATAGAGTAAATCCACCTGCTTGAAAATAAGCACCAGAAACATTGAACAAAATGGATTGATTGATACGACCTGTTGTTGAGCTTAAACCAACGCCGGTCTAGAAGATAGCAAATCAGTATCACATATTCAGATTAACAAATGTTCTATCAATATAGAGAGTCCATCTCCGTTTTATATTACATTCAAAATCAGTGTTCAGTTTTTATTTGTGGTGAATCAATTTTCTATCAGTGCGGTTTCTCAGTTTCAATCATATCTTTTACTGTCTATTTGGTACGAAATGAGAATAAATCTATTTTATGATTTAGATCTATGCTTTGATGTAGGAAATGAATAAGATAGATTTCCATGTTTTTTCGACCTACTCCATTGATCTTGTTTGGTCCTGAATCATAGTATGAACCACCATCAAATGAATAATAAGCCACGAGAGTTGCATCCATTAAAACTTCTGTCGCAGTCTTCGCTCTCGATACATATGCCATCTGATCGATGTAGCCCGTCCAAAATGAGGCCGGTGTTGTACCTGTATTATTAATTGCTCCAATAGTGATCGCTCCACTTGTTGCCTGAAATGGACTCGATGAACTATGTGTACATTCGAGAATACCATTCAAATAAATGTATTGTGTCAGAGCTTCATAATCGTAGACAAATGCGAAGTGGTACCAGCTATTGGTCAATACAATTGTTGAGCCCCAACAATCATTACCATAAAATGCAAAATAAGTTCGGTTTTGTCGAATCATTAAGTACATGCACAAATTAATGTTAGTTGTTTGACACATGCCAAACATCAAATTGTCGTAATTATCTAGAAAGATAAAATGTACTAACTAATCAATATATAAACATATATTTAGTCTATCTCATTCAAGGATTACTTCAATGTTAACAGATGATTTTATATCTGAGAAAAATAATTGGAGGACTCAGAATTTCCTCATAACATCAACTTTCGAGCGCATGATATGTAAATAGATTCTGTGTAGAACCGATTGAATAAGCATGTGTATTCAAAATAATTATGATTAAAAATCAGTAAATCTATACATTTATCGTAATCATTACTAAAAACTTCAGTAATTGAACTTATTACTATTCTGTTCTGTACTCAAATCTCAAAGAAGACATGTTCTACTCATGTTTTATTAGAGATAAGACGTCAATATTCGTGAATCTAAATTTTGCAAGCAGAAGATTAACTTAGATCACATCTTTATATTGAACAATATTGCTTTAATAGTACATTTCGAAAATTTAAGTTCTTCATGAATTCTGATCGAGCAATGTCTTCTGGTAACAAGTTATATCTCGAAACTACATTGGATAAAAACTAGATCTATTCAATTTATTGCATTAGAGAGTCTCGTTCATTGAATAGGCTCCATCTACGCCTGTAGTGGCGTGTATAAGACATAATTAATTGTAAAGCATATCAATGCATAGTTTACGATAACTGCATAGATTAGTATTGTGAGACGATGTGGATAATTGGAAAGGTAAAATGATCTGTTTTCATATTTTCGTGCAAAAACTTTTGAAAATCTATTTGAAGAGCGTACCTTTAGCTGTTTGAAAGCTTTTGGTATAGACTAAAAGTGCGGACTTCGACACTTCACGAGACTTGAAAAGATCGCAAGGATTTCGAAACATTATATAAATCTGTGAAGTAGCTCATGACATTTCAAAAGACTTCCTAACACAGCAAAGTACTGCAAGAGACATCGTCAAATCTCTTAGACTTCGTTAAACTTTTAGAGTCATGAAGTCTGCATTTCTGCGTTTACTTCAAGTGTTACATATCATATTTTAAACCCTAGGACAATGTTTAATATGTTATAGGCAACATTCGCAGACACTCCTTGAAGACTTATAGAGATCAGACTGAAGTATTTGTTAACCTTGATTCGACCAGTTTTTATCATAGAATTGTTCATATAGATCTATTCCTACCAGAGAATAGTTCGGCATAATTAGTAACTTACCTAAGTTGATTGGATAAGACCACATTTCCCAAGTAAAACTTGTGTATGTCATGTCTTTGTAATTTGACACGAGAACATATTGGGAGTTTGCTCCATTGAGAGACAATGCCGATCCATAACCAGTGTAGCCAGGTGAAATATAAGTCGCACCATTTATGCCAACGCCATTGTATACATTATACATATCATTGACATTGGAATCAAATGACCAGAAGATATATGAGAGAGGTGTAGGAGATGTTGTAGCTATTCAAATACGATTAAATAGGAAATAACTGATTAAATCAACAATACATTTCAAAAATTTGATCGAAATCGTTTTATGTTTCTTAATTTAGTTCACTACAACGACACACGGTTTTCTGAAATTATCATTGGAATTTTTCTCTATTGGTCACAGACGGACTCAACTTCTTTTTAGTGATAGTCAACATAATCATTTGATCTCAGAGTATCGTCTTTTTCTATCTCTTTGTAAGGACAATCAACATTTCATTTGTACAACTGTACGTTTTCGATGAACTATGTTCTACTATTGTTTACTTGTGCTAGTTGTTGTTGTTGTACTGATCGTGGTGCTTGTTGTTGTTGAAGTTGTCGTAGTTTCTGTAGTGGTTGTCGTTGAAGTTGTTGTTGTGGTCGTAGTTGTGCTTGTACCTGGAGATAGATTAATGAGCAAGTACTACATCTACACTGAATACAATTACTTGTTGTAGAAGTTGTACCTATTCAGATAAGTTTCATTTTCAATAGAATTTTTCAGTTGATAACATACTTGATGTTGAAGATGTACTTGTACTAGTTGTGCTTGTTATCGTTGTTATTTATGTCGTTGTAGCTAAAAATTAGTATTCAATGCAATTTTTAACATTCTTCATAATATCTTCGCTATTTACTTGTCAATATTGTTGTTCCCGTGTCTAAAAAAGAGTTTCGAATTCATTGGATAAAAATTAAATTTACTTTTCATCGAATTATCTTTACAGGTCAAGACATTTCTATATGAATTTTTCTCACATCTATAATAAGGAGATTATCATCAAGAAAAATTTGCCGATAGAGAGCGATAAATATTTGCCGGACATGTTTAATACCGATACTGTCGATAATGAGATTCACAACAAGAATTGGACTGAGAGTATTAACGTTTACTATTAAATAGAAGACGAAAGAAAAAAAATATTCTTTTTCGAAATTGAAAGATTACTGACTACTATAAACTAGTACTTGTTTGTGAGCAGTTACCCTATTCCACTATATTGAACATTGCGGTATCAGTTCTACTCAATTCCGACAACTCGGTCATCATTCAACACAAGACACCTAATCGATATTAATAGAGTTCCGTCAATTTCCAGAAATTGCTTCTTTATTTCGGAATTGGACGGAATTCCTAGGAGTTTTTGGGATTCCATCCGACTTCGGAATTCCGAGAATCGCTTTCAATTCCGAAATTGGACAGAATTCCTGGGAATTTTGAGTAATGTGGTCTCAAGTTAATTCCTGGAATTCCGAGAATTGACGAAATTCGATCGATATCGATGAGGACTCTTATTATAAATGATGATCGAGTTTTCCGGATTTGGACGAAATTGATTCCGAGGGCGGAACTGGTTCTACAATGTTCAACATCGTGAAATAGGATGTACCCTCTTGTTGATGTAGTTAATAGAGTCGTCGAAAAAGATTGTTTGTTGATATGAAATATCAGAGATCACTGAGTCGCGGTGTCACACCGTCTCGTTCTATCTCGTCCCGGTAAAATACCAAGATTTTTGGGCGGAAGGAGAGGTACCATAAGATTTGGCGGTTTCTTCGACTTCTGATGATATTACCATTTCTTTTAGAAACATAGCTAAATTTTTAGAAACTAGTAATTTTTATTAATTTTGTTGTGTTTCCAAACAGTCAATATGTATTTTGTTTATAAAATTTAATGTTATGTAAATAAAATAGCAATTGTGACGTATTTTCAGAACGAACAATACAGAGTCTGCAAACACTAGTAAACAACTTTGTTGCGTTATATAGGACCGTATTTTGACAAGTCATATAGATCAGAATTATTATCATGTATTTGCGTGATTATACACGAAGTGATAGGATCATATGTGAAGAAATATGTAGCAAAACCGAGGCCATGTACGATCTCCGTCTACAACAACAGTAAACAAGCATTTTTTTGCCTCTATAAATCATCGCATTTCTTTGAATACAAGATGAAGATACACGATCGTTATATTGCGCCATGTAAACTACCGTATTCTTTGGAGTACAGCTGTTTACGACTATGGATGCACACACACTCACTAGCATGATGTAAGGTGTGGGTGTCTGGGTGTGGGTGTGGGATGTGGGTGTGGGTGTAGGATGTGGGTGTGGGTGTGTGAGTGTGGGTGGATATGGGTGTGTGGTGGGTGTGGGTGTGGGTGTTAAAAAGAGTAGGTGTTATAGTGAGTGTTCTCTTCACCCACAGCCCCATCCCCACACCCACACCGACACGCACACCCCCATCCCCACACCCACACCCACACCCACACCCACACCCACACCCACACCAACACCCACACCACACACCCTACCTCGCGAAGAGTTTAACTGGTTTCCTTTTCAGATCACACAAGTACCTTGCTTCGATTGATCTTTGATGTAGACAGTAAGTACTGTCGCCAAAGCAACACTAGCGACCAAACCTCCAATAATCGCACTGAACAGAATAGTTGGTATTATCTGAGGAACCCGGACTGAAATTTATTAAATCAATGAAGCACTAAGAGCGATGGAGGATTCCTTACTTGCAGACACGTTCTTGATTGCATTGATGTCTTTTTGTATATATTCAACTTTGTTGAAACCTGACGCTTCTTCTGTCGACCATTCGCTACGTCCTACTATCATTTCTAATTCGAAAACCGTACTGTGTTGCCGAGTTCTAACTAAAAATTATTCAAGTGAAATGAATCGAAGGTAGAAACAGACTGACAAAATAATCAGCAGATATACTATTCTTATAAGCAAAAGGATTGCCGCTTGAATTTCAATTCTGTTGTTTGATAATGAAAGACGTATAAGTTTCATTTTTATTGGTTATATTTTTCTTTTATATTTATTCGAACGAAACCTGTATTATGCAGTGTCTTCTCTTATACATAGTACTCATGAATTATTCAATTAATTGTTGCCATAAGAAGAAAAAAAGAAAACATTATTCGATTTCGAATCTTTGGACATTGTTTTAAATGAAAAAATAATATTGGCTTTTCTGTCATCTATCATCAACATCGTCTTATACCTTAGACAGAGGTATAAAAATAATATTTATATGCACATGAATATTTTTGTGTTTTATTTAAATCTATCACCTTTTGAAATGGACAAATTTTCATCGTACGAAGAATAACCAATGGCTGAAAAATAATTTTCTTCTGGATTCTAACAGCTTCTGAATTTCCGAACCAAAATAATGCAGTATCCTCAACACTGTTACATGTACCCATTATGGTCGCACAGCTTTTCGTCGATATTGGGTTGAATATGAAGAATGCTATAGATAACGCGTGATTTGGATTTTGAGAATTATTTCTCAATTTTAGGACATTGTTCGCCTCATCAAGGCGTACAAATCAGAAACTTAATTGTAATGAACGATGGATAATAAGTACTATTTCAATACTATGAGAAGAAAATGAGAGTGAGAGTAGGATGTGGGTGTGGGTGTGGGTGATTCCATTTCTTTTTACTCACACCCATATCCACATTCACGACCACACCCATACCAACACTCAGACTCACACTCACACATCCACACCCATACCATTTCTCCTCGTTGTTTCAATGCTTTGATATGTGGGTGTGGGTGTGGGTGTGGATGTGGGTGTGGATGTGGGTGTGGGTGTGGGTGTGGGGTGTGGATGTGGGTGTGGGTGTGGGTGTGGAGTGTGGGTGTGGATGTGGGTGCGGGTATGGGTGTGGGTGTGGGTGCGGGTATGGGTGTGGGTGTGGGTGCGGGTATGGGTGTGGGTGTGGGTGCGGGTATGAGTATGGGATGTGGGTGTGGGTGTGGGTGTGGGTCGGTGTGAATGGATGTGGGTATGGATCTCAATAAAGAGAACACAATACCCACATCCACACCCTCAAATGACAATTATGAATACTAGTTTAAGTGATCGTTATTTTTTATTATACATAATCCTTTCAATTTACAGAACCATGCTTTTGAATGCTTAACATAATGAAAACTATTAGATATTAAAATTCTAATATTCTAAGCTGTATATTTGACTCGATTTAATATAAGTTAATAAATGTCCCAAACTCATTTGTCTGTTTTTCTAATTAGATTGCATCAAAATAATTCATTCTAATTTTAAGAGATAGAAAATTTTGTGTAAATTTCGTTTGTGTTCTTTTTATAATTCGACTTTTTAAATACTCTATTCAACTCTAAATACTACATTCATTAAAGTATCAATTAATCAAAATTAAAAATATTGAATTTTAATTTTTCATACAAATGAATTAGATTTTAAGTAGTTAAAAAGATATAAGTTTTTGATATATATATATATTTAATGATTTGGTATACTATTACTAATTCTTTTTGACTTTGTTACTAATAAGTGTTAAAATATTGTACATAATGAATCTTTGATTTCGGAGATTTGATTTTGTATTTTTTTTTGTTTGACACAAAAACAATTATAATAAAAGTTTCATCGAAAAGAATGTTATCAAGGAAATTCATCTAAACTTAACATTTTCGATCAATTATCTTATATAATAGTCATTGGTTATTGTTCGAAAAACGTTTATTTATCTATTCTTTAAAATAAATATTTTTGTTTTTCATACAATCTGAAATACTAAAGCAAATCAATAATGCTGTATTAAAAAATATTATGGATGAGCATTGATTGTTTCATTCGAATTATTAAATCCTATTCATATAACGTACAAGTATTAAGTATAGAAACAACAATAATAGTTTCTGATTTCCTTATTTGACGATCAACAAGTAAAAGAACGCGTTCATGAATTCCATTTCCATAAATAGTTGTGAACCAAATGGATTAACATGAACGCATTGAGTATCTAAAATCATTCTTTTGAATCATGAATTGTATAAGATAAGTTCATGTTTATCATATATAAGAATTTTATGTCATTTTGAATGACATGCCATAGGACGAAAAGTTGATGAAAAACTACATGATTGTACAGATACTGTCCGCAATAATAAATAACGAACTGTTAAATAAAAATTAAGTATATTTGTTGAGGAACATATTTGAAGATCATAAATTGGATTGGGTGTATTTTTAATCTAAATCAAATAAATAATAATTGATTAGATTGAAAATAATCAAATCAAACTTGAATAAGTTTTGATAATTATGTTGGTAAATAACTAATAGGAAGATCAAATAATCTATTTTTATTGTATATGTTGAACATGTAAACGAATATCATCTGTTATTGAATTTTATCGAATAAAATCTTTATTATACAAGGTTCATTTCAATTCACTGATGCGACTAAAAAACCGTGTTATTTAAGATCCTATATCAGTTATTTTATACTTACAACAAAGAGAAATCACTTTTGATTAATAAAATATAATACTATTAAATTTATTTTTAATAGTACGTCTTATTAAAGAGCTGTAGGTGTAATTGGAGAGAAGATTCGCACACTCTTCTTGCTCTCAAAATTTTCACCACCAAGGTCCATGTTAAATCTATTAATAATACTTCTTAGTTTAATTGTTAAACAAACAAATATACGTACAACCTTTGATTATTGAATGATATAATTTTTTATTTGTTATTGATACATTAAAAACAATAAGCGATCATCAATTAACACATGAAGAGTTATTTCTGTTCGAAACGATTAACATCAAGTTATTTTTTCTTTGACTAATTACTGTTATTTTATGATAGGTAATACATATGCTATAGTAAATGAACGAAAGAAAAGAGTGACTTCGACAATGGGCAAAAATATTGTTAATTGTTGAACAATCAGTTTCACGAAAAGAATGTTTAGCACAACAATCAAATTATTCAGAACAAATGTCTGTTGGTACACGAGTTTTAGTAACAAGACTAATAATGCAAACAGTAAGAGTTATTTGATGAATGTTTAATCTGAAGAATGTACTGGTATAGACACTATACGTACACTATATTATGAACAATGACGACAACATTTAGAACCAAAAATGACATTCATATAGTCGAAAGCAAAATCAATTACTGTTAACTCACAACATGATTCTTCAGTTTATGGAGTGATAAGAGTTAAAAATAAACAAGATTCATTTCGAAATCAACGAACACTTGATAGTTTCAATTCATTGGATACTACTACACCTATATAAATTGATTGATTTTATGTCTTTCTTTTCTTAATATATGCATGCAGCAATTATATTCAAAGAAGTATATGACAAACAAGTTCGAGTAATCAACCTTTATTTTCGAGTTTTGAGTGTGAGTGTGTTGTATTGTCTCCATCACAGGATAAATGCACATTGAATCTCACGCTAACAATAAGTATTTTAAGAAGAGCAATGTTAACTCTATCGGAGATATTTACTCTCTTTTTTTAGACTTTAATGCTGCTAATCAGAGTGATTTTTGATTTCATTGCTGGAAAAACAAATTTAATGAAAATGTTTTTCAGTGTCGAAAAAAACTTGCATTTTTACGTTATTTAAAATTTGAAGTCGATTATTAAAAAGATTCATTGTCATTTTTTTTGTCAATTATGAGCGTTTGTCTTGTTGATAAGCAATGCAATGACTGATAGCTGTTCGAATTGCCCTAAGAGTATGAAAGAAGAAAAATGCCAATTGGAGTAAGAGTAAAAAACATAAACGTCACTTAAAATTAACGAAAAGCTTAACTGCTGATCATCTTGATTTAAGGTCGAAAACCTCAACATTTTTATACAAAGATACGCCAAATGCATTAGATCTTGTTTGTCATCCTATGATGGAGACAAAACAGAGAAAATCACTTTCAAATTATGAACGTTTAAAAGACAGAAAAACTCTAAATCAATGTTATAAATGTTCACAATAGAGATATCCACAGGGTAGGGTAAAGTAGCACAGGGTACAGGACAAGACAGGTTGAGACCATCATACCCTGTAAATTTGAATAGTCACTTTCTAAATTTTCATTTTTGAAAAGTGTTTTTTTTTTAAACAAATAATGTAGAAAGGGAGCTTTTTTCTTTTTGACAAAGTAGTTTTATTGATACTTATAAGGGTGACCAATTTTCAATACAAAATAAAAACGAAAACGACGAGTTCTATCCGTCGCACATCCTATGATGTATATTGACAATACGAGAAACGACATGCATAATACAGCCTCATAATGAAATCATTTTGATTACATTATTATAACAGTGCACGAACAAAAAGAAATACAGAAAGGTAGAGAGTGTGTGGGTGTGGATGTGTAGGTGTGAGTTTGGAATGTGGGGTGGGGTGGGTGTAGGTGTTGGTAGGTGAAAAGATAGTACCAGTAAACCCACGCCGCACACCCACCCACCTCCACCCACATCCCATAACCATACCTACACCCACACCCTATTTATATGTGTAGAGTATAAGTTGGTGACTAAAGAGAATGCCTACAAGTGAACGCATACCTATCCAGTTTCTACCCGTGCATGCGCACTCAACGCCCTAAGATAAGGATTCATACACATAGACACCCATTATGAAAAGTCGACCCAAAGATTGGCTTTAAATCGTTGAGACATAGTTGTCCCGATCTAGTTTTGTCCCCGTGAAATAAATCTCATGAATATTCTACCTGCTCAACTAACATCTAAAAGAGGTACACGAACTGAGTTTACGATAAACTATCTCAAGTTCACTT